TCATGGAGAAATAACTTCGGAAAGGTGGTCAACCAACAACCCAAGTTTCGAAAATCCTAAGGCAAAACTGTCTTGAGTTGTTTTTTTGTTTTCCATTCCAACCATTTGGCCAAGGAAAATCTTTCAAACATGGTTCATTTGTATAGGAAAAACCTAAAGAACATTCATGGTGCATTTGGTAAGTGTTTTAACTCCAAGAACTCAATTGGCAAGTCCAAACCAAGTCTATCATCAATTCTGCTCAAAATTTAGGGTTTTCAAGGACAGGGCAGGTTTCGTATTTTGATCACAAATCACTCAATTTTACTCAGAATTGAGCATGGCTGGTGGAATTGGAAAATAGATTCATAAGGCTATAATTTCACAGAAGAAATTATTTTGAAAGTCAGCACACAACTAGCTCAAATTCGAGCCTCAAGTTGTAGCTTCTGAACTTCATTCTAGGAAAACAGAGAAACAGGACAGTCATCTTTAAACGGTTGATACGGGGTACTCGGTGGAATTAGGGGTTGCATTTTACACCAAATGAAAGCTGGAAATGTCTAGTTTCCAGTGCCACAAATGGCACTCGATTCCGACATCGGAGCGATGAATTATAGCCAAAACAAGATGGCTGTCTAATAGTGACGGGAATCATTTCCCAGTTTTGGCAGATTCTAAAACTCAACATGCACTCACCCAAATCACGTAAAATTTGAGGAAACTTTAAACACAACCTATATTTCACATTTGCATCAGAAACAAGTCAACTGGACTTCAAGAAAATACACTAAAATGCACGAAAATAGCAGGGCAGAAACGGCATCTTCACATGCAACACCTCATTTGAATTCCTTTTCATTTTTGCCACTTAACTCTACTAAATTAGCACTTAATCAACACAATTAGCATCCAATCCTATCAAATCAGATCATCAAAGTCATTGTGGGATTTCATAGAGCCCACTCACCAATTTACCAACAATTTAAATCTGCCCATGAGAATTCAAGAGCTCATGAGTGTAATTTAGCTTCCATAAACCAAGAATTAAGTAGTGGATCATTACTTACTTTCTTAGAGAGCCAAGACAGAGATTTTCGGTCACTTTGAGCTGGAGGAAAACCGTGAGAGTTAGCTCTTTTCCGAGCTTATCTTGATCACCAAATGATTTGAGGGTTGCATGTGAAATTTGGAGGAAATTGAGCAAGGAATTGAGGAGAGAAGGTGGAGGAATTTTCTGGTCTAGCTCTCCTTGGCTGCTCAGCTGTTTGTGCGTAGGAAAGGAAGGAAATGCTGATAGCATGAGCTTCTAATGGTAAGTTTAAACGTGTGGCTCAATTGTACTCAAAGCTGTCCACTAACGTAGTGCACGTCCGCGTGCGTTTCGGGCTCGATTCTCGCGAGTTTATTGCACTAGTGCACTAAACCTCTAATGCACTTGCATTTATATTATTATTATTCACTCTTAATAGTCCCAAAATAATGGCCTAAAGTTCCTCAATTACTCGCGTGCGTAAAGACTCGTATTTCCAATTGAAGCGCGAGATAATGAAATTTCTAAGAAATTCCTATGACGGTAATATAACTAACTAACCTTTGAACACTTAAATATAAAAATACCTATTTTGAGACTAATGCACAAGTCTCCAATTTTTAAGGTTATTGTATTCTCGAATCGATTATTTACTCAAGTCGCGTATTTACTATTTTCACTTAACGAGCCTTCATAAATTAAATTTCGAAGCGAGTCACTTTAAAAATATAACTAAACTATGGATACATTTAATTAGGCCTAAAAAGGATAGAAAATAATAATCAGAGCATTTGGCCAAATAAATAATTAAATGGGTTAGAATTTGGAGTTTAAATTAAATAATTTTTTTTTGAGTCTTTACAAACTCAGTCTCTATCTTAAAATTTCCAAGAGTCTGTAGGCATGAAACCAAATATAGAGAGGTATTTGAGCCACATCTAAGTATAAGGCTTATCTCCAAGTTTTCCTTCCAAAATTTTGTAGATCTCTATATGAATTCCTTCTTGGCTGCCTCCTGCTCCTCTCCCTTTGTAGCCCAAGTTATTCTTCCTACATTATAAGCCTGGGCAAATATGAATCTGAGACAACACTACTAATAAGCTAAAGTTTTTGCCTTAAAAAAAGAAAACTCTAGTGTTTATCCCTACAGTATAAACCTGCGCAAATGTGAATTTAAGAACAACACTAGTAAATGGTAATAGATGTAAATCATTGTGAACACAACATTACCTATCAGAGATGAAAGTAGCTTTAAACACCTCAAATTTGGTGTTATAAAAAGAAGGGCATAGTATCAGTCAAACAGTAAAAGCTTAGGAACATTTGCTATCTATATGGAAGCTCACAAAAAAATAAAAATAAAAAAAAATCAGTGAGCTATACCATATACTGAACAATTGTACTAAGAGGTTCACAAACGGGCTTTCCATCATGGATCAGAACTGGGATTTTCTTGTGAACAGGATTCATCTGGAGTAGGGCTTCTGTTGTTGGAGTCTTCTCCTCTGTATTCGTACTGCACACCCTTCTCATCTAGTGCTCTTCTGACCCTCATGCCAAAAATACTAGGATAGTCATCCGGAAAGACAACTCCACCAGCCATTTTTTCAGATGATTTGCATCAAAATAAGAGAAGTTACAGGATTGATTTGGTATGAACACTTGCATAATTTGTCAACTGTATAAATTTTAGTTCATATGTCAATTTTATAGGTGATTAGAGCATTACTTGATGGATTAATTTTTTAATTCGTTGAAATTTGAAAGGGTTGTTATCTAGTGTAATTTAAGTAAACTAAAAAAAAAGAGACAGAATACTGGCATCTGAGTACTTAAACTATATTTCAACTACTGTGCAACATTTTGACTAGGCAATTCTCTATCTCTATGGTTAGAACTTAGAAGTTGGAACTCCGCCTTGTCCTTATATGTGCATAAACTATGGAATACAGTACGAGAAGCCAGAGAGTTAGAGCTGTACCACACTAAGATCGCGTTTGGTTCGCACATTGGAATCGGAATCGGAATCGGATTCGGATTCGAATTCGAAATCGGATATCCTGGGTTTGGAATGAGGTCATACATTCCAATACATTAGTTTGGTTCAAGTATCTGGAATGTGTATCATTATTATAGTTGATGTTTGGTTCGTCGACTCTTTCGAAATGGAATATAATAAATTATTATAAACCACATCATAAATGATAGTTATTGACTCTTTGTAAATGGGATATAAGAAATTTTCACTAATTAAATATATCAGTATAAATATATTAGTAAATTTAGTCTAACTGATTATAATTTCTATTAGTAAATATGTATAATTGATAATATTAATTATATTACATAAATTAATATACATTATATAATACATATAACTAATAATATTATTATTATAAGTTTGTAACTAATTAAATTAAATATTATATATATAATTAAATATAAATATACAAATGTTATAATATAAATATATAATTATAATTATATAATATATACAAATATTAATTATATAAATATAATACATATTACATATTAAATAGAGTTATTATTATATATTATTATATTTAAAATAATAATTATAATTATAATTGTATAACTTATTAATATTACATACATGTATATATTATAATTATATGCACTATAATATACATTTATAAATATACATATATATTATAAATATATTATTATATAATATTAATAAATTTATAATATATATTATATAAGTATAATTATAATATATAATATAATAATATCATTATTATAATTTTGTAACTAATTAAATTAAATATTATTTATATAATTAATTATAATTATATGAATGTTATACTATAAATATATAATTATAATTATATAATATATAAATAATAATTGTACTAATATTTTATATAAATATAATGCATATTAATTAGATATAGTTATTATTATATATTATTATATTTAAAATAATAAATATAATTATATAATTATATAATTTATTAATATTATATACATGTATTTATTATAATTATATGCACATATAATATACATTTATAAATATACATATATATTATAAATATATTATTATATAATATTAAAATTTATAATATATATTATATAAATATAATTATATTAACTAAATAATTATAATATATGTTTATATAATATACTAATATTATAATAAAATATATAATTATAATAAAATTTTATAATTATAATATTATATATATATATGTATATATTATAATATAATATAATATAAATATAAATATATAATATATATAAATATTACTTGTACTAAATATTATGTAATTATAAGATTTTGGAATCACGCTTGGGTTTTGGACAAAACCCACCATTTTACTAAGGAATGGAGGGATGCCAAATTTTTAGAAATCATTCCAAAATTTCAATTCCCATACCAGTGAACCAAACGCCAATTATGGAGTTTATTCCATTCCTTCATTCCGATACCCTTTTACCAAACGCCCCCTAATACTTGTTCAAGATATGGGTGATGCATTTCAATTATCTTCCTTAAACTCTTCAAAGCTGACAAACCGATCGAGTCCAAGAAACTATGCTTGAATCCCTCCTTCTCCTGCTATTCCAGCCCCTTCCCCTTCCACCAAAAAAACAAAAGAGCCTAAAATAAAATCCACAAAGTTAATTTTGAATTCTGAACATTACCTTGGACCGAGTTGTGAATTATATAGAAGATAAATGAAAGGCCACAAGAAAGCCGAATTGAAAGTTCAGTACAAGTGCATCTCGACTACAAAACCAGAACATCTTTGGTCTCCCAAATAATTTTCGTGAATAATCTACAGGAAGAAATGGAACAGTGTGTGGTAATCTATTCGATCCCAAACATCTTCTTCAGAAAAAGGACAGTATCATAAACAGTGTGAGGATCAGAAAGGGACTGGGACACACTCTCCCTCTGCATAAAAATTTGGCCCAAGCCACAAGCTTTGGACATTGGCTCTCAATCTTGAAGTTTCCACAGGTCTCAAAGGCATAAAACCAACTGTATAGAGGAATAAGAGCCACATCCACGAGCCGAAGTTTCAGCTCGGTTTTCCCCAAGTTCTCCTTCCAATATTTTCAGAATCTCTATGAATTCCTTCTTGGCTGCCTCCTGCTCTTCACCTTTTATTGCCCAGATCCCTCTTGCTGGATCAAAAACCTGCATTTTCTCCATTAGTTAGTCAAATTTGTTTCTTCTTGCATAATGTAACTTTTAGTTATATTCCATTTCCACTAACATTAGTTAGTCAAAAAAAATTTTTCTTTTAATTCATGCAGAATCTAACTCCAAAAAGAAGACTTTCTCGGAAAAAAAAAAGAAAAATATAAAATTCACACAGAAATCTTGCAGGGTACCTTCTTGTCAATAAAGTCAGCCCGAACCTTGCTTGAGCCCTCTCATAAAGGATCAGATGGTTCCAATGGATTCTTGTCATGCCATACCTCATCTATGTACTGGACAATTATAAGGGACTCAAGTATTGGCTTTCCATTATGAATCAAAACTGGAACTTTCTTGTGAACAGGATTCATCTCAAGAAGAAGCAGGCTCTTGTTCGTCAAGTCCTCTTCCTTGAGTTCATACTTGACACCCTTCTCGCTAGTGCTATTCTGACCCTCATACTGAACATGCTCGGATAGACACTCAACAAAATCACCTCTTCACCAGCCATTTTCTCAGAGGATGGTACGAAGCAGGAGGAGGAGTTTTCTCTGGTTTGCTAGTTTTTTTTTAAAGAAAATTGATGGTTGACCACAAAAGAAGTGTGTACAGATTCCTCTTTTTTTTAATAGTAGTACATTTAGTCGTCATGGATTTTATTATTTAAGTTGAACGAGTACCATGAAATGGTACCGGATCATTCCTGGAACCTTCGAGCTCCACGCCCCAAGTCAGTGAGCTGTTTTTATGAGTTGGTCTAGAGATTTACAGAACATTTTTTTTGCAAATGAAGTGCACATATTTCACAAGTCAATAACTAAGGAATAAAAGGAAGGGAGAGAGTTGAAAAAAAAAATTATCTAAGGAGATGATATGCAATATATGGGAAAAGAAAGTAGTATCACATTAACATCATTTGGACATTGTACGAACACTCTGCTTAACTAAAGACAGAGACAATTGTCCTATAAATTTGTGGAAGAAATTATACATATAAACAGCCTATCCATGAAATCCTAGTAGTAGTAGTAAACATCATTTACTACCAGTCCAGGATATCAGGAAGACGACGCTAAATCTCTTTTATTCTCCAAGCCAAGCAAACAAAACTAAAGGATTCTAAGACAGATCTACGAAGCCCAAAAAAGCAAAGCAATCCCAAATACATATTCATGCGTAGACTTTATTCGATCCTCCATGTAGGCAAAAAGTTGAAAGAGACTTTATTCGATCCCAAGCTTCTTCTTCAAGGACACAACAAATTCGTAAATCTTGTGAGGATCAGCAAGGGACTTGGAAACGCTCTCCCTCTGCATGCATCTTTTGGCCCATTCCACCAGCTTTGGACACTCCGTTTCTGTCTTGAAATTCCCAAAGTTCTCATAGGCATGGAACCAACAGTAGAAAGGAATCAAAGCCACATCCACATATCCAAAGTCTTCCCCTCCAAAGTAAGGCTTATTTCCAAGTTCTCCTTCCAATGTTTTCATAATCCCTATGAATTCCTTCTTGGCTGCCTCCTTTTCTTCTCCCTTTGTGGCCCAGATCCTCCTTCCACAATCATAAACCTGCATTTCACCTTAATTTTCTCAGAAAAAAATTGAACAGAAAAATCCCTCCTTAACATAATATTTTTATCCCATATCTAACTTGTCCTGCTTGCTTATGTTGTTTGCCTAAAATAATCTAGTGAAAATAGGTTAAGAAATGCTTAGTTCCACGACTAGACGATCTTGGTAAAGACAGTAGAAATGCTTGCCCGAATAACTGATTGAACAGCAGTTGACAAAATTAGAGTTTCCATAAGAAAAAAATGTTACCTTTTTGTCAACGAAGTCAGCCCAGAACCTAGCTTGAGCTCTCTGGTAAGGATCAGATGGCAGCAAGGGATTCTTGTCATGCCACACTTCATCTATGTACTGAACAATGATAAGGGACTCGCAAACAGGCTTTCCATTATGAATCAGAACTGGGATTTTCTTGTGAACAGGGTTCACTCAAGAAGAAGTGGGCTCTTGTTAGCCAAGTCTTCTTCTTTGTTTTCATACTCGATGCCTTTTTCGGCCAGAGCAACTTGGACTCTCATGCTAAACATGCTCCCATATGTACCCAACACAACCACCTTGTCACCGGCCATATTTTCAGATGATATTCGAGCAAAGCAAAAAAAAAGAAAGGATTTTTTCGCTAGAGGTGATGAAAAGAAAGCTGAATTATGGGCAATAGTAGCAGTTTGTTAGCAACTAGCAGGTATAAGAACCGGGTCTTGCATTTTATAGTGAATGAGAGGCTGGTGATGGCAGCATGAAGGAATAATGGTTGGTAAGTGGTAGATTGTACCAGGACACTTGGGTCCTCTGCCCTTCAGCAATTTAGGCCACAAGTCAAAATGCAGGTTTTTTTTTTTTAAGCAGTAGGGATAGGATTCAAAGGTAAGGGAAGGAAGATTAGAACCAGAATTTTTAAATCTTGAGAAAATGAAGGGTCTCTTTTTCATGTGTTATTAATTAGATCTTTTTTGACTCTTTAATTTTTTTTTTAAGATTCTTGAAAGCCACTTTAGGAATTTACAACCTATACTAGCACGTTTTTGGTTTGATATATGCTCAAATTTTTAGCATGTAACTTAATTTATTTATAATATTTTGAATACAAAATTAACTTTCCTTTTCCAGTTACTCCGCTAGAAATTGATAGAAAGTCACGAGATGAATAATATGTGCATAATTGCTGTTTACTCACAATTTTGTGGCCTCCCACCAATTGCTACTTTTAAATCCAGTAAGTACTTATCGCATTCGTGTGATCTAATGGTTATTCAGCTTTCCTCGATTTCTAGAATTCGATTGCTCCTGTACCCCTTTTCCCCCATAGTCGATGTATGACCAAAGAAAAAGAAAAGTTGCAACATTGTCTCTACGACAAATATTAAAACCTTTTTGGCTTGTTATTTTTAAATTTCTCTAAATTTGAATAAATATTTCGAGATAAATACAATGCCATTTGACTGCCGTCCCCAATCAAATCAAAGGTAGTAGAGGATTCTAGAACTCAACAAATAAATATTATTTATTTGTGCTAGAATATTCGTTGTCTAGAACTTGTTCTAGGATGCTTGTCTTGCTTTCTTGTTCCTAATCACACAAAATTACGCGACAATTTTTGTAGTCACAATTCCGCCATTATCTTCTCCATTAATGAATCAGAAGATTCTGGTAATTTTAAGTAAAATTATTCCCATTACCAGTTATTTCAAACCAAATCAGCGGCCTGGTGGAAATTAAACTGCTAAATATTAAAACACAAACTAAGAAATTAAGGAACAAAAACTTGCGTCCACGGAAAAGGTTATGGTCTCTTTTTCTTGATTGTCTGCTTAGTAGCTGCTGCGGCTGGTCCCTAATTATTAGGTTCCCAAGCTTTTTAGCTAAGTGCTTACGCAGAGTCTTAAGGAATTTGACGTCACTCCTTAAGTAATCACATTCAAGCTTTTGTCTTTCCCTCTCTCTCGCTCCTTTTTCTGTTCCTGGTTTGCACATTATTTAAGTTCAATAAGAAAAAATATGAACATAGACAATTCAACTAAACACAACAAAACACGAAAACAAGAAAAGAGTACCCCACCACATCTTATGTCTAAATTGGTCCGGACAATGGGTACTAGAATTAATTTTTTTATATACCGCCAGTAGTATATAATTGTTTTTACATCAACAAATTTACATCATATCACATTATATAAATTTAAATTTAAATTTACACTGTTAGCACGTAAAAAATTAATTCTATATATGCTCAAAAGCCATCATTTACCTCTAGCTCTATCCCTTCTATAGGGACAAAAGTAACTCGATTGTAAAGGTCAAATTATGTTAATGTATCAAAAGGTTGAGTTATGTATATATTTTAAAAATCATAAGGGGATTATATGGTAAAACACTAAACTATAAGAGAGATGTATGGTAAAACATAAATCGTATAGGATTAAAATGTCATGCATATTATGTATATATATTTTAGTCATTTCAACCACTTTAGTTTCTAAATAAGGGTATGATAGGTCACAATTTTGTTATCTATTTTATAATTAATTTCCTCCTATTACCTTATTGAATGTGCATTAATTAGCAGATTTTATTCATTTTTGGCATTTGTGCTTATTGCAGAGAGTTGAACAAAATATCATAAAAAAGTGCAAATTTGTCAAGTTGTACACCTTCGGGTTAGTCAAATTAATTTTGACGATAGCCAGCAGAAGAGTTGGAGTAGTAAAAGGAAACAAGAGTCCAAACGGAGATGGTATTCCTTATCCAGTGATCAACTGCGCTAGACGAGGAGCAATTTTGGGGGACTCTCCTTTTTCTTCTTTTGGTAGTTTTCAAAAGAGGAGGGAGGTTAACAGAGACTAGGAGTCTTCCCTTTTATTCCCTTAGTAGCCGGATAGGAAGGAAAATTATGTAGGAAGAGGCGGTCCGACAGCTTTGATTTTTCTTTCTTTTGTTTTCGTACTTTGTCGGCTAGTTCTTCTGGGGGTTGACTATTCATTGTTTTTGGGGGACTATTCCATCATTTTTTCATTATATTCAATTGGAGGAAAAATGCCTTCACCATTTACTTCGGCAATTTTCATAGGATCCCCTCGACAGAGATGAACTAAACTTTTATTTCTAGTCAAGGAACAACGAGGATTTGGTTCAGGTTAAATTGTGAGATCTAACTGATTTTACTTTTTCCTATTATTTTCTAGTATTCGTATATTTCCTATTTTATTTTTTTATGGTTATTGTATTATTCAAGTATCATGGGTCCAGATGTTAGATTAATTCAATAACCTAAAACCAATTAGAGTAATTAAATCTGTAATTGTTTAATTATTCCAAATTAGTGGTAACTGATATAATCGGGATTATATCAGGGAAATATACGGGCTAATTTGTAAACAACCCTCGTAGCGTGTTGTTTATGTAGAACAGGATTTTTCTAAATCTTAAAGCAATTGCAAAATTGAATTTTACAGTCGTACCTAGGGTTATTTTGCAATTAGGACAATAACTAACGGTCTTACATTAACTATCGATAATTAAGGAGAAATTGATTGTCATCACTTGTTTGACAATTATAACTTGTTTATCAGTTTATATATGGAATTATTCTTGCATCGATGATCAATTAGGAGAACCATTTCCGAAATTGCTTCTTGACTAGAGTTTGTCAAAAACTATTTGAGTTTTTGCAATTTGCCATCTAATTTTTATTTAATTGCAATATTCGATTAGCATAACTTATTGTAATTTCTATAAAAAAAAAAAAAAAACCCCCATTGTTTGTTTGAACTTCAAAAGAGGCAAATATCCCCAATCCCTATGAATTCAACCCTACTTATCACTATCTATAGAAATTATATTTTGTTTGAGCAGGCATTTATTATTGCACAGGCTCGACAATCTGTCAATTTTTGGGCCGTTGCCGGGACTGTGTTAGTTAAATTTGTTTTTTTTAAGTTCATTTTCT